ACCCCTGGTTTGACAGTCACAGTGAAAAAGAGAGACATAAAAGGGAGCTAGGACCCCCAGCAAAAAAAAAAAAAAAACAACCCCCCCCAATCCTAACTGTCATGTAAGTCTTGTACATACAACTCTTGCAGCCATTACACAGGTTTAGACATGTACTCTCCTATTATAGTCCTGAAGAATCTAGACCTCTAACCATGAAGTAGCCACAGCTGCTATGAGGAATTATAGTCCTTATGCTGCTAGCTGTGATGGAAACACCATTTCCTAGGGAAATGAAATGACATGACCAAACATGCATCGCAGTGGCTTTCTATCACCATCGCCTTGGCCTGGACTTTAACCAACAACTCAAAAGTAAAAGGTTCTGTATCTAGCTACTCATTTTCTGCACTGCCCAGTCATTAGTGAATCATGTTTTTAGCATGTTTAACTGTTCCCAGTAACACCTGACAAGCTACTGTAATAAGCTCCACAGTTTATTTTTCCATTATTGACAAGTTAACCAAGTTTAAGCAATGTGGGCAACACAGCCTCAAAGCTTACTGCTACATCAAATCATAATTATATAGGCTGTTATTACAGCACATGCATGAAGCTTTTCTTTTCTTTTATTCCCAGAAACAAAAAATTGCTCCTCATTTAAGAAGCCAAGGCAGGGAAGAAAAGCCCAATCATTTAAGTGCCTTATGACATTTCTCAGGTTACCAGGAAGCAACCTGAAGTATGGTTCTGCCATGAAAAATAAAATGTCACTCTCTTATTGCTTATGTGCATTTGGTCGGAACTCCTGACTATATTGACAAGTTTTCATAGGTTTTAAGTCCATTAGCCCCAAGGAAGTAGTACAGCCATGGCTTTGTTTTGTCCCACATTGTGCTTCAACTTCTAGTCATCCAGGGATCCCAAGGCAACCCAAGTGTTTTTAGATTCCAATCTTGCAATGCCTGTGGCTACCTTCAAGATAGGTGTCAGACAGCTTAATCTGGCTTGCTGCATCATTATTACTAGTGATGATGTGCAAAATGGAAGAAATCTATATTTCCTCTAAGAGGCCAGGCTGAACCTGCAAGGCTGGGAGTTGGAAGAAACACTTATTTGTGATCAAATACATTTGATGCAGAGCCAGTGAGGAACAAACACAAAACTCATAATGCTATTTCAGTAATTTCTGAAAGCAGAGCTACACATCAAGTCTCCTATCACCCTGCTTAGCAGTACAGAGTAATGCCATCCAAGACATTGGAACAGGACACAGGAAATGAATCCAACTGAATGAACACAAGAAATCCTACATAGAAAAAAAAACTCTATAATTTAGGCTAAATAGGAGTTTGTCCAGGATGCTGGAATTAAATCAAAGTTACTGTAATTTCTTGTAATGGTAGAGGTTATTACTCTTACATGCTGCAACAGTTTACAAAATAGCAAATTCCCTGCTTTTAAATGGAGTTAATACACTACTATTAGCATACAGGCAAGCTGGAAGCCAGGCCATAGAAGACAGGTTTGAAAATGGCAGCCTTGTGCAGCCATATTTTTTTATATGCAACTGCTAGGTAGATGCAGCATCTTTAGCAAGGGTGGATATTCAAGCCTCTGATCCCTTTACTACCCACATATTTATCAAAGATAAATAATCTTTATATGCCAAACACTGAATATGGAAAGGTTTGACTTACAGCCTACTGTACCAACACACTCTTTTAGAGTTGCACTAAAGCAAAAACATGTTTTTAGGGTTGTGCTAAAGCAAATTCTTTTTGTTTGAAAGGTTTTTTACTTTTTCCATCATAGATGCTTAAGCATGTGAACCAGAAATTACACTAACAATCATTAAAAAAAATGCATAATGGTCAACTCAACACTGAGCAGGGATAGTCAAAATTAATCAGGAAATATTACATCAGTGCCAAGCAATACAAGTACAAATCTCTGGGTGGCAGAATGGAGATCTAGAAAGAATTAATATTATGAGCATGAAGCAGGGTGTTTGTTTTCCATTTCAGAATGTCACTTGCAGAAAGCTGCCTAGCATTTATTTAGTTTTCACTACACTTGATTGGTTTTAATGAACTTATAGAGAGGAGGTTAAAGAAAATCAAATGCAGTAAAGTTTGGAAGGAAGCTCTAGGGCAGTAATACACATTAGAATAAACCTCACTTCTTATAAAATATAATTATCTTGAAAGTCAATGTTGAAAAGCAATGACTCCCCAAATATAAATACAATCAAACTACTCTTTTGACTTCGTCTGGTATCACCACTAGTGGCTAAAACCAACTGCTTCAAAACAAGCCAAAGACCTCCAAATATACTCAGTCAGCTATGCAATGCTAGAAACAGGGAAAGAAGTGCATTTTATGAGGAAACGCTGAAAGAACTAGGATTATTTCATTTGAAGAAGAGAAGATTTGATACCTGGCTGCAAGTATCCAAAGGACGACTATAAAGAGGATGGAGATGGGCTTTTCTCTGTGGGCGTAGGTGACAGGATTAGAAGCAATGGCCTTCGGCTTCAGTAGAAGAAATTTAGGTTGGAGAGGATGAGGAGGAACTTGACTCTAGTGGCTGTCACACACTAGAACAGGCACCTAGAGACGTCTTGTCTATCCAGTCTGCTCTTGGCATCCTTTTCCCTGGAAGTGTTCACTTGGCTGAGATGGTGTAGTCAGGGACAATCCTGTCTTGAGAGGGCTGTCCCTTCCAACCCTACTCTCCTATGCTCTTTATCCCACCAGGGGATTGGCTTATGATTCAGGTGGGGACGATCCTGTCTGGGGCAGGGGTTGGACTAAATGAGCTCTGCAGGTCCTTTCCAGGCCAACTGATCTGATTCGATGAATTGAAGATGACTGAATTACCTTCACCTTATTTTAGCTTCCCAGACTACAAATGCTGTAAGGGAGTAGAGCTGAGAAGCAAGGGACTGCAGTGGGTCTCCTATGGGGACAGGGAGGTTAGCCCATCTAATACTGTAAAATCTTCTTTAATCTCATTACAAAAGGGAGGAAAAAACATTCAGGACTAATTACAAGTGCTCATCTGAAAGGCCACGAGGGCATGGCTGGGGAAGAAGGAGACATGTCTGCCACAGCGACCTGAGCCCTCCCATAACAAGCGCCTTTGAGCCCAGAGACAGCACTGCTGGCTTGGAGGGCCCTGCTATGCCCTCAAATGAGGGCGGCTGGAAACCAACTGCAGAGTTGTTACACGCATTCAAGCACTAACTGTAGCTGGCTAGCTCGTCTGACAGCTGCACGGTCATTATCGTGGTCTGATAATTACTTCATATCTAGCTGGGCTGCGCACAGTTGACTGCGCAATGTACGTAACATGCAGCGAGGGCCCCAGCCACAGCAGCCGCCACCAGAGGCGGGGCTGAGGGTCGCAGTGCGCCTGCGCAGCCTGGGGCCGGCCCGCGGCCCAGACACCTGGAGGGACGGGGAGCCCTTCCCCCCCCGCGCTGCAAAGAGCTGCCTCACAGCCAGGCCGGCCCCGCCCCGCCCGGGGTGGGGAGCACGGGGTCGACCGCAGCCTGGAGCCCCGGCCCCCAACTCACCTGCGCAGCCGCACTGCAGCCCCCGCCCTCCGGCGGGCTCCAATCGCTGTTGGCAACGGCGGCCGCTTTCTTCCCGAGGCGCAGGGCGAAATCCTCTTAATCCGCTTCTGCCCGCTTCCAAGATGGTGGCGGGCTGCAGTCAGTGCAGGCGTCGTCGCGCTTTTTTCTCCACCCCCGCGGTCCGCCGGCGGATTGGCGGGGCGGGACGCCCGCCCAGCCAGCGCGCTGATTGGGCGGGCTCGGCGTCAGTGAGCCCGCCCGCCGCTGGTGCCAGCAGCTTCCAGGCCTGCTTCTTCCC